CTATTGTCTAACCCTCCTTTCCCGACGGAGGGGCCAGGCTGGAGCCACCGGCCGCGCCTGCAGCTCAGTGGGCGCCCCAGGTCCCCGAAAACGCCTGGATGCGGACGTTCTGGTTTCGAAAGAGCAACATGCTTTCCTGTTTAGTGGGAAAACTCAAATTATATAGAAACCATCCTTTATCTTACCGTCGGTGATCAACTTTATCATATCCGTATCTATTATTAGAATTTATACTACGTACATTTGTTTTCCAGAAAGATCTTAGCACGCTTTAGTAACCCTATTTTTACATGTTACAAAATTTTATTTATTTTCATATTTTCATTTGTTTATTTTGAGAAGTCTTGCTTTTTTCAGTCGCCCAAGGTGGAGTGCACTGGCACAATCTCGGCTCACTGCAACCTCTGTCTCCTAGGTTCAAGTGATTCTCCTGCCACAGCCTCCCGAGTAGCTGGGATTACAGGCGCCCGCAACCATGCCTAATTTTTTGTATTCTTAGTAGAGACGGGGTTTCACCATGTTGGCTGGGCTGGTCTCGAACTCCTGACCTCACGTGATCCACCGACCTCAGCCTCCCAAAGTGCTGGGATTACTGGCGTGAGCCACTGCGCCCGGCCAAATTGTTATTTTTTAATAATCGTTCTGCATCACTATAATCCACCTGCCTTTGGGGTTGTTAATCTGTGGTCCACACCAGGCTTCGACAGCCTTCCAATAATATGAAATTGTGTGCAGAAGTGTATGTGTCTCCGTGTGTATTTGTGTCCACGTCCATGTTTCTGTGTGTTGTATGTGTGCTTGAGTGCACACAGAGAGGTGGTATGTCATCATTTGTTCTAGGGAGTCCTTGTCCCCTCAAAGAGGTTAAGAACTGCAGATAGACCTCGTGTACTTAAAGGCGGTGGAGCCGGCCAGTGCATGGACTTCCGGGCCTCCTGATGTATTTTTGTGAGCCGCCCACCATCGGGGTCAAACTTGCACCAGTGCCCCCTCTCTTGGTGAGGCTCCAAGGGCCCCTGCCCTGTCCGGGGACACCTCGTCCCGGCGGACAGGCCCCCGTCCTGACCCCAGGGCTCTCGCGGAGGAGCCCGTGCCTCGGGGAGCAGCTGCTCTCACGCTAGGCCCAGCTTCAGCACGCTCGATTGCAGTGAGGCCCTGGGAAGCGGCTATTTTTATCCTCAGGGAAGGGTAGGAAAAAGAGAGGCGGATAAGGAGGGAAGTGCTGGAACTTGATTTTCTTCTTCCCTATCAAGATACACGGATTCCGTTTAGACTTCAATTTGTCAAGCTTCAGCTCCTCAGCACAAAGTCTTACACCCTTCATCCTACCGAAGGAGGCTGAGAAGAGGGATAGGGAAGGAAAAGTGCTCCATCAGAGAAGGCTAAAAGCCACAAAAGTCAGCAAAAAAGCAAAAAATACTTCTGTTGGGACAGCCACTGCTACCAGGGTTCTGCCAGGAAGGGCTTGAGGCTCGAAACATGTGTGAACAGGAATCTCAATTTAGATGGGAAGCATTTTGTTTTTAAAGGATGGCATATTCTTTGCACTTTTAAAAAGGCTCTCAGTCCGCAAAGAAAGAAACTCCTATCTTCTCGAGGTTCTTTAATTACTAGGTCTTGTCAGTGACTTCTTGAGGCGGCCTGTGATTAAACAGTCAGGCCTGGCTGGGTTCTGGTACTTATTAATCTTGTACCAGGGAAAATTAAACTCTCCAAGCCTTGGTTCTCTCATTCATAAAAATCCCAGGATAATGCCCGACTTCCAGGGCATTTACAGGATTTAATTGGAGAGAGATACAAGTAAAACACCTAGGCAGACACTGGGTAGGTGTCACACCTGTTGCTATTGTTATTACAAGGAATCCTTTCCCTTTAATGACCACTTCCTGTGAAAGTTTCATCACCAGTTACCTCCAAACAGTTCAAACCTGGGATCCTCATGAACCTCATTCAATAGCACCACGCATGGCCCAGAGCCTGAGCTCGATCAAGACTGGTGCCAGGCATCACACTAGGTGCTGGGAACACAGGAGCGAGCAATGTGCTTCCTTGAGAACTTTGATAAACAAATGTTTTCCTCAGTGCTACAAAGACAAGTTCTCAAAGTGTGGCCCCCAGACCAGCAGTATCATCATCACCTGGGAACTTGTAGAAATGTAAATTCCTTGTACACCCCCCATACTAACAGGTAGCAGCTCCAGGGCTAGGGCCCAGTAATCTGTTTCCCAAGCCTCCTGATGCTGCAGGTCACTCCATTAGTATCTCAGCACTCCTGTCTTTCTTTTGGTCAGCTGCAGTTGCCCACTTTCTCCCTTACTTGCTCAGTCTGTTTCCAACACAGCAGACAGAGGCATCCTGTTAAACGTCAACCTGATCATGT